TTGAGGGGAACATACAGAGAAATGTGAGGGCTCAGAAGAGCTCAGAGCACAGGTCAGAGGTTGAATCTCTAGAAGAAACTACGTCAATGGGGCTACATACCACGGGCAGGGGTGGACAAAGGAGAGTGACATTTCTCTCCTCCATGCTAGCACACAGATTTCACTGAACTTCAGCTCCACGCCACAGGGGCGTCTCTAGTTCCTCCAATCTACAGGGACCCCACTGGAATTTCTTTCAACAACAGGAGTGCACACACTCAGGCTTTTGGGGTACCCTCAGGCTGGAGGGAGAAAGGTCAAGACCCTCTCTCCCACACCCTCCCCCACACATGCCCCTCGTTCCTGCTTCAACTGCAGGCTTGTTCTATTCCTCCCTGCCATCACCAAAGGGCTGTTCCCTCAGCCTGGAATGCCCACTCCCTCTGTCTCCCATTACCTCCCACGCCCTGCCATCACCTCCCTGGGGAGCCTTCCTAGGCCTCCCAAGCTCCTTGAGGAGGTAAGCCTGTGTGGTAGATGAAATAGACACGCCCAGCTACCAGCCTGACCTATCTATCCTGCTCTTCCTTGGTCTCTGAGCCTCAGCTTTCCCATTTGTGGGAGGGGAGGAAGGACTGCTCTGACCAGTAAATGTAGTGGAGTGTACCTGGCATGAGTGGGCCCCAAGACCATTCTCTTCTGTTCCATCCTCCCACTCTAGAAAGAGCTCTTTAAAGGCAGAAAGTACCCGCCTTTAATAAGAAGGCCCCAGCAACCGACAGACCCAAAGCAGAGCAGGTGTTCCCTACATGGTCAATGAGCCCCCATGTCACTGCCAAGGAGATTCAGCCAGGAAGGGTAATATGGAGCTCACACTGCTTTCCAAGCCTCTTGGCCTCTCAAAAGGCAAGGAATTGGCCCAGTTTTATTAATGATCGGACTAGAGCTTATTTGGAGCCAAGCCTCACGTCCCTAACTTGCACTGCCAGTATCTCCTCCCTACTCCCTACATCTCAGGCTGTCCAGGCTCATCGCCAAAGTCTAACTAACTCTGCCTGTGCCCAGGCCTGCCCCACAGGCCTCTTCAGAACCCACACTTCCCGAAATCCTTCGGCAGGACCTAAGACTGGTTGCCTGACTTCTGCAAAGGGCAAGCACCACCTAACCCTCTCCTGCGGCTGCTCTCACAACCAAGAGTGCTCACAAATTCTGCCCTTCCACATCTACACTTGTCTGGGAGTTGGGGAAAACTGGCCTTCCCTTTCGGAGCGCTGCCACCCACACCCCCGCTCCCTTCCCAGTATCCATTTAAAAGGGAGAGTTACTTTTTGACAGTGAAGTGGTGCGCACTGCACACATGCTTTCTGGATGTTGAGTAGGGTAGAAGGGAGCCATCATTTACCAGACACCCGCCATAAATTAAAGCGCTCATCAAGCACCGGCTGGGTGTGTGGGTACCGACACAGAGTCCCAGTGTTAAAAGGCTCGTGGTCCTCCTTTGTCAGTCTCAGCCTCAAGTGTCTGTTATCCTATGGGGAAGCCTGCACTTCCCTGCTTCGGCTCATCCTCAACCCTCCTCCCTCCACCGCGCCACGGGACAAAGACCCCACCAGTGGCCCAGGGAGGGCGGGGAAGGGGCCGGCCGGTCCCGACAGCGGCGGTGGCGGCAGCGAGGAGGGGGCGCGGAGGAGCAGCTCCACCTCCTCTGTCTCCCAATCGCGTTACAGGCGGTGCCGCCAGAGTTTGCCTTCGCGCGCGCGAGTGTGGTCCCAACTCTGAGGACCGAAGCCGCCCACCACTCCACTTCGGCTGCCCGTGCCCAGCGGGATCGAGGCCTCGGGCCGTTCCACTTGGGTGCGAGCGGCTCTCGCCTCCGCCCCGCCTTCCCTGCCCAAGTCCCGCAACTCACCGCCCGACCCTCCTGCGGGATGCGCGCGGCGAGGCGTCCGCCCGCGGCTCCGGGCTAGCTCAGATCTGCGCGCCGCGGCCTTCCCTCCCCTCGGAGGTGGGTCTGGCGGAGCCGCAGCTGTTACCCGGAGACCGAGGGGCGGAAAAAACTGCGCCCGCCGCCCGCCCCTCCCGCCGCGGCGCTGCCTCCGCTGGGAACAAAGGAGACAAAGCCGCGTCGGCCCGCCCGGGCTCCGCTCCTTCCACCCCCCCACCCCCCGCCCGTCGGGCCGCCCTCCCCCCGCGCGCCGCCCGGACCAGGCCGGAAGCAGCCGGGAGAACGGGGGACGCGGCCCCAGCCACCCGGGACCCCACATTCCGGTCCCGCGGGATCCGAGTTTGTGAAGGGGCTGGGGGGGGGGGGTGAACAACCCCTCTCATTAAACGGGGGCTGCTGCACCGGGGCGGTAGCCATGGTAACACAGCCGTGAGGAGCCTAGCCGGGAGCGTGGGCGGTCCGCCCCGCCCAGCCGGGCCTCACCTGCGCGCCTCTTAGGACCAAGAGGCTTGCGGCCATGGTTGCTAGCCTACGCCCGGGCTTCCCTCGTCCTGCCAGAGTTCGAGGGACTTGTGCCCCACACCTGCTCTGCCTGATCCATAACCACCATCTTCACTACCCACAACGCACCTCACCCAGCGCCTGGAGCGCCCTCATTCCCTTCTAGATCCTGGCCCTTGGGGCCATCCTCACCCCAACTTTCTTCACCTGGTCTCCTAGGCGCCAGCGTTCTCCTCTTCTCACCTGGCCCTGCCCACCTTTCCTTCTTTCAATACTCCACAACACCCAACCTCTCCTTCCGGCCCCCACCCTTGGCTGTTTGAAGAGAGCCCGGGCTTTGGACCTGAGTTTGCGCCATCACTAAGCCATGTAACCTGACACCCCTCCCCCAACCTATTTGCTCACTGACAAGTAGGGGGTGATAGCACCCATAGCTGGGCTATGAAAGCAGGGCATACTGGTTGCGAGGTGCAGAAGAAGTAGGGTCTTACTTCCTTCCCTTCTCCACGGCTTGTACTTGGAACCATGCAGAACTCAGAAACCTTGAGCAAGTCTGGACTCCCTCCTTGGAAAACACCTGGGTCTTCCTGGGAAGGAAACTCTGGGCAGAGGTTCTCTTTTGAGGGCGTCTTATGCAGAGCTGTTCACACCCGGGCTTGCCAAAGGCAATCTCTGGAGCCAGGACCTAACCCATCCTGAGGGCTTTTGAAGGACTTTGGCTCAAGGCCATTGGCAGACTGTCCAGAAAGGCAAAATCTGCATATACGTCACCTGGAAGCCTCTAAGGTTAGAGAGCTCTAAATCCGGGGAAGCCCGAGTCTTCCGAGTATCATATCTGCCACTTCACTAAGAGCTGATGCCAGGTTTCTCTACCATCACACCCTCACACTCCCATGAGGTAGGGGGGCAGGGGAGGTGCTGGCTTGATTTATGTCAACTTGACAAAAGCTTGAGTTATCAGAGAGAACTTCAGTGGGAAAAATCTCTCCATAAGACCCCCCTGTGGAGCATCTTTTTAATCAGTGACTGACAGGGGAGGGCTCAGTCCATTGAGGGTGGGGCCATCCCTGGGCTGGTGGTCCTGGAGTCTGTAAGAAAGCACACTAAGCAGTAAGCAGCACCCCTCCGTGAGGTTCTGGCCCTGCTTGAGTTCCTGTCCTGTCCGGTTCTGTTCCTGTCAGTGATTAACAATGATGTGGAAGCTTCAGCCAAATAAACCTTTTCCTTCCCAGCTTGCTTTTTGGTCATGGTGTTTCATTGCAACAGAAACAAATTAAGACAGTCCTTTAGCTCATCTGCCTGCTTTCCAAAATACCCCTCCCGTAGGCCCCAGATCATCCCTCTTCTTCCTCAACCCCCACCCCTGGGCTTTGAGAACCTAATCCCAGTCACCTAGCACCTTGTCAGCACTACCATGACAACCCTTCCCTGACACTCCTTTACCCCAGCACTCCAGCTTCTTCCCCCCCTCTAACCTTATGCTCCACAACTCTCCCAAACCTATCCCCACCCCGACTAGGACAGTCTGTACCAACTCCCTCGATTATGCTGGCCTCCCTACTAATGCAACCTGTAGGAGCCCCTTTCATGTACAGGGAATCCTCACCCCTCAAACCCACTTACTCAAATGCATGCCAGAGGGAGGCCTGGCTTCAGCTCTACAGCCTTCTTCATCTGTACACACATACAGTGCTTCCTGGAACCTCAGGGGTATGAACACTCTTAGGTGCTAGGTTTGTTTCACTCTCAGGGAACTACTGTATGACAATAAGCGATCAACTAACCAAGAGATTAGGTTCTCAGAGGTTCAAAGAACTTAAGAGCCATTTTCGAGCCATGCTTGCTGCTTAGGTATGAGCACAGCATCCAAGAGTAGAAGGCTCCTCGTGGGAAAGACTTCTGGCTTCACAGGCACAAACAAGCTCCCACTGGAAGCGTACAGCTGTGGTACAATCGGGTAGGGGTGCACTCTGGGGTTGGGGGAGGCTGTTAGACTGACTATCCACTATGGTTCTAGACTGCTAATACTCAGCACAGAGCAACACCCCACAAATCCTATTTACATAAGGCCACCCACGCCGTTTAGCAGAGGAGGTCAAGGGTCACTGTTCCCTCTGAAGAGAGAGGTCAAGGTTCTCAGGGCAGCCCACTTCCATGTTTCACTGTTCCCTTCCTTTAACTACGTCTCCGCACTGCAGCCAGCAAGGTCCTGAACTAGGCCCATGCCCTTTTGAGGTCCCAGGTTGCATGGACAGGACTTTGTATCAGGGATATGCAGACCGGCATGGGTTTGTAATGATGGCTCCCAGTCTCCTCCTGTCAGCACCAGACTACATCTTTTCCTCATCCTATGGCAGAAAGCCACATACCAGGCTAGGTTCTACTCACCTGACCCACACACAGGAAGGCCCAACAAGCAGAGGGCAATTGTGTCAGGATATCCTAAGTGAGAATCCAGGGCTGATTTCATCCAACACAGTCCCGAACTAGGACCACAAGGAGATGAGAAGGGAACTAAGGGGATGAGCCCTCATTCCAGGCTAAACCCCAAGTCACAGATTTATGAAGTCAATGATATGTAAAGGTATTTTAAATAATACAAATTCTTAGATATTTTAATTGGACATTTGCACAAAGTTTTGATAAATGTCAATAGGTATTACCTAAAAAATAAAATAAACCTGTTGGTGAACCCCTCAGATGGTATTCAGAGTCAGGTTCAGGTTGTGTGTACCTCAAGATTCATTATATCACCAACAAAAGCTACATTCACCCTTAGGCCCCTTTGAAGAAGGACCCCAGGGCTAACTTGTCTTGAACAGCATGTAGAGCAGAGGCAATGTGGCCATAAAAGTCACACAGGTGACCAGCGTGCTAGAGATAGCATTCCTGTTAGCCTGGGCTTCCAGCCTCTGCTCCATCTCTGACAGGGCCAAGATCACACTCCCGTGTTCCAGCAAGGAGCTGGGCAGGGCCCCATCCACTGGCTCCACCATGCTTGGATGTGCCGGAGCCTTTGCAAGCTGAACCACCCTAGCCATTTGGCTGCAAGTCTTGTCCAGGCCGTCAAGCTGCTCTCGTAAACCCTCTAGACAGGAATAGACCTGCCGGGAATGACTGAGCTGCTCTTTCATGGCGGCTGAAAGGCCATCTATGTCTTTTCCTTGGGTAGAAGAAGGACCTGTTGGTGATCCGGAGCCCTGGCCCTGCCCAACGTGCACCAGGCCCCTCAGATCCATCATAAGGTCCTTGAGGTCTTTCTGTTGGAGGGAATAGCTAGAAGCCTGTTCACGGATGGCCTCCTGGAGACTCACAGGCCCTTTCTGTGCTTCTAGGAGTAAGGCCTTCAGTTCTTGTAGCCGGACACGGTTAACATAGGTGGACCCAGCCACGCCTATCAGAGCTCCTAGAACTGACCCAATAAGGGACCAGTTCTTGGTCCTCTCAGCCCTTGTACGCTCTTTCTCATGACTCTCCCGCACTGCTGCAGAGAAGAGAGAGAACTTCTCTCGCTCTGAGTCTTCAGCACGCAGATATGCTATTCGAAGCCTCTTCTCTTCCTGTGGGAAGAAAGTGGTATCAGACATCGGCAAGGAGCCTTGTGACTACAGCCACGGGGCCAGGGGCCACTCCCCTGCCACTGGCTCTACAAACACCTGCTGCATGAAGACAGAAGAATATACCTGTTGGTACAGGAGCAGAGCCATGGGGGGTGTGAAAGGTAGCCATGTGATCTTCCCACTGAGCAGTCATGCAGAGCATGTCTATAGGAAAATAAGTAGCCAGTATTCCTTGAGCCAATACCCACATCCTCTCTTCAAAAGTGTGGGTGTCAGATAGCACTTGGCTGCACTGTTCAGCCCAGAACTAAGGAAAGAGCAGGCGGACAGGCTCTGGAAGTCTGGGCCCAAGACCACCATAGAATCTTCTGGTTTACCTCCTCTAAGACCTCTGCTCAACAGTCAGGGTTACCATCTCCATACCCTGTCATGCTAGGGGCTTGTGCAGGTAACGGAGGGCTGCTTCCGGAGAGGCCCACCTGTAGCATCCTGTGTTCCAAAGTAGCCAGCTCCAGGTACTGGTTGTCCTCCCTGGAGACTCGGTCCAAGCGGTCCCTCACCTCCTTCAGCTTAGTCTGCTGAGCTTCTAAATCCTCGCGAGCTTCTCGAACAAGACCACGAGCCACCATGAACACTTTCTCCGCCTGCAGAGAGAATGTCAGAGGGACCAGCCTTTTCTGTCCAACCCCCACTCTGTGGCTCAATTCCACAGCTAACGAGTCAGCAGCTGGGCAGGGGGTCACTGGGGTGTCACTGTGAAAGGTAGAAACTTGAACGCTAATCCCAGCTCACTCTGGCATGTTCAACATGTGGCCACACCCACTCGAAGCACTGGATTTATTCATTCAAGCAGAAATAACATGCTCCTGAGAAACTTGCAAAGCAAACAGTGACACGATCTTTGCCCACTAGATCCAGCCAACTCTTGTCTGACAGGAACCACCGTGAAGAACCCAGTGTGTTACTGAGGCCTATGATACCACCATCAAGTCATTGCTACAGCCTCTAGCTTATGGCCCTTGAAATTTCAACTCAGCCAAACTCACGGGTATAAATATTCTCCAGGAAGTGACAACCATGTGCCTCAGATCCCCAGCCAAACCCCTGGTCTTTTCCAACCTTGCCACACTGTTCTGTAGCAAGTAACTGAGTGCAGACAGGTGACACAGTGCATTTCTGCAGCCACCAAAGACTTGAAGACCACAGGCAGCTCAGCTCACCTTCCAAGATGATGTTTCTCAGTGCCCTTTGCCTTAGCATCGTAAGGCAAAACCGTCCACGAAAGACGAATTTGCTGGCCTATACACAGGGGGAGTCATTAGCCAGGGACTTTTCAGTACGTGAGTATTTTCTCAGAGAGCAGAGGGTATAATTACAGAGACCTTCACTCCAGTAGTACAGGTCCAGATCGCCACATGAGATAGAGGCAAATATTTGTTTAAGAAAAGGCAAGTCTGAGCTGGGTGTGGTGACCCATGCCTATAATCTCAGCATTGAGGCAAGAAGATCATGAGTTCAGAGCCAGACTAAAAGATATTCTAAATTTTAGTCAAGTCTGAACTTCGGGAGAAAATCATTTCAGAAAAAAAAGGGGGGGGGGCTAGTTATGGTGGCGCATACCTATAATCCCAACACTCAGGAGGTGGGCAGGAGTTTGGCTACATAGGGATTCCAAGGCCAGCCTGGAGTATGTAAGACCCTGTCTCAAACAAAAAACACAAATGCGTCCGCACAGTTTTCCAGCCACTATCACACATGTAGCTGGGAAGTTTTTGTTAGGAGCCCAAGCCATATTTCCCAAATCTAAAGGCAAATCCAGTCACCATGGTTCCCTCCTCACCTCGGTCACATTCCCCTGGGCCTCTCGAACTTCATTGAGTCCCACAAACTCTTCGTATCTGTCCCACCAAGCCTTGGCAGTAGAGGCTGCTTGATGCCGAACAGTGTGGCCCAGTGTTCTTCCCAATGCTGGGAGGCGGTGATACAGCCCTAAGGCTGTAGCTTCTGGTTGCTTCTCTCTAGGCTGGCTGGGACCTGGACTGCACAGAGTCCTTGTCATGAGGAGGTCCGTCCCAAGGAAGGTTCTCCGCACCAGTATATGGGGTACACCCGCCACATGTTGCATTGCAAACACAGGGCTGCACCCCATCATCTCAAGAGCTGTGAGGGGGATACCAGACAGATTAGCTCCTGACTGAGAAAGGCTAGACACAAGTCAGGTCTCAAAGCCTAAGCTAAACAGACTAACTTTTGCCCCTGTAGCAAGAGGAAGCCCAGGCTTTCCCATGGGTTTTTGGGACAAGGGAACACTCATAGAAAAGCTCATAAGGGTGCTATGCCTTCCCTTTCCTCCCATGATGCCTTGACTGCATACACACCATCTTGACAGACCAGCTGCCTTGACTGCATACACACCATCTCCTAGGGCTCTCTGACAGGACCTAGATAAGAAACTTGATGCTTCCTTTTTCTAATGCCAGAGAAAATCTTCAAACCTGAGTTGTCCACGAAGACAAAAAGATTCACAGAGGCCCCGTGGGCTGGTGCTACAGGTTTGTAGTTTCTGCCACGTGGGAGGCTGATGCAGGAGGATCATCAAGAAGAGCAGTCTATACAGCAAGTTGCAGGCTAGTCATGCTATAAAGTGAGATCTTGTCTTAAACAACAACAACAGAATAACTACGACAACAACAAGAAGTAAAAACACTCTCAAGGGCCTGGGAGTGTAGCTCACTGTCAGAGCACTTCCCAGCATGTCTATGGTCATAGGTTCAATCCCCATTACTGCAAACACACACACACACACACACACACACACACACACACACGACTCCTTGGAAATGCGGGAACTAAGGATGAATGAGGGAAAGATAACTAACTTCCAGAGTCATTCCTATAAAAGATCCTCGCACCTAACTTCTGGGCTCCCTGAGGCTGCCACTTCTTCGAAAGGACAATTCCAGGGGAGGTAAAAAGCCCGTTTTCCATGCTGCAAAGCTTTTCCTAGGTTCAGAGCACACACTCCTTCTGCTCTCCTACCTGACTTTCCAGGCTCCCCAGCCCCTGTCTCACATTTCCCACCTCTGCCCCAGCCTCTGCTCAGCAGGTCCAGCTCCTCCGCTCCCTTTCAGCCCTGCTTAACAATAACCTACTTCCTCTGACCTGCACAGGACAAGAAGTACCCGGAGCCAGGCACTGCCCGGCCCAAGAACAGAAGGGGCTCAGAATCCTGAGGGAAGGGCCAAGTTACCCAGAACCCCAGAAAAACCTGGCAGCTTTCTCTGATCACACAGCGTTAAGCCCGAGCACTGATCAGAGCGACACCTGGTGGCCAACAAGAGAAAGCAACAGGAGCTGGGAAAGAAAGGAAGGGCCTGGAGAACACAAAAGGGCTTCCTTAAACTATTGTTGGAATTTTTTTCCTTAGTTTCAGGGCATGAGACTTCTCACAGGTGGTATACAGATTAACTGGATCATATGAGATCTGATTAAACAGACGCTGGTGTGAGAGGGCTTCCTCCGGCAGATTTACTCCAAGCATCCCAGGCTCCTCCTCGTCAGTGCAACTCTCTTGCTCGTGGAAAACAAAGCTGGATAGACAGGGACATGCCTTCTGGTCAAAGCAGGCTCAAGCTGAGCGCTGTAGCAGAGGGGATCTTGGGGACACTGGTTCCAAGCTGGTGCTCCACTCGAACTCAAGTCCCATTCCTAAAGCTGAGGACCATCCATAAGACAGCATACACCATTCACACCCAAGTCCCAACACCAGGGCCCACAGAACACGTTTCTACAGTCCCTCGACAGCTCTGCAAGTATGCCTTCCAAGGCCAAGCAGGATACCCACTCTCCTTCCAGAGATACTTGGCAGAAATGAGCTGGCCGTTTACCACTGCCCCACACCTCCCTCTGTCTCCCTCCCAAGAGACAGATGTTAGGGATGGAACCTAGCAGAGCCTCACACATGCCAAGCAAGCTCTGTACCACTGCAGCCCCAGCTGCTTCCCTCTCTTTTGATCCCCGGAATTCCTGTGACCCAGCCACCTCCCATTTCTCCACAGCTTGCAGAGCTCCATCTCTTCCAGAAGTTACTGCTTCCTCTCAACTTCCTCCAGCCTTCTCAGCCCAGTTCCTGGCTTGTCCCCACCAGCTGCCTGCTCTTGGTTCCCTGGAACATTACCTACACCTGGCAGAGCCCTAGTGTGTTTCCCACAGAGCAGCCCGAGGGCAGGTTAACACAGGAGTAAGAGCATAGCCTATAGTTCCTGACTCACCTGGAATAGAGATCCGGCAGAAACCAGAAAGGTCAGGTACTTCCAGCACTCACCTCCCCTTTCCCATAGCCATACTCTGTTCCAACCACCCCGACACTCTAAGCATGATCTGTACAATTCTGTGCCCTGCCACCTCAAGTCTGTGACCTGTCTATGTCTGCTCAGATGTCCCCTTTCAATAAGGCCTTCCTTGACCACCCCCTTATTTGCCAGCTTTCCTGCCTTCTGCATCAGATAAAACTGCCTAGCAGGAACATGCACTTGGTGACAGCAGGGACATCACAGGGAAGTGTCAGGGACTCCCAGCTTGTTGCCCTCACCTACTCCCTCAGCTCCTCCCTGCCACCCCACCATCCACTGGCCTGTCTCTCACTGCGAATGACATCCATACACAGGCCTGTCGCAGGCCCTTCAGCCTGCCAGCGAGGGAAGAATGACGCTGGCAGAGGGAGAAACTAGGGAGCCCTTGGAGTCACCTAAAACCTGCAAGGCTCTCAATGCAGAGATGGGCTGAGGGGGAGAGGCTGGACAGATGAACAGAGGCCATATTAAGCAGGAGTCTACATCCCGAATCTTGCCTTCTTGGATGGGTTTTCCACTGTCAGCAGACGCCTGCCTCCTACCCTGCTTTTCCACAAAAAGCAGGGTGGTGGTAGCTTCTTCTTGGCACACTTTTCTCAGCTGCCAGCATCTCCCAGCCCCGGCCCTTTACTGAAGGGAGGTTAAGCCCATCAGCTTGTGTTCTATATCTCTAGTTCTCACTTTGTCTCTTGATTTTTTTTTAAAGGTTTCTTTATGTATTTATATGAGTACACTGTAGCTGTCTTCAGATATATCAGAAGAGGGAATTGGATCCCATTACAGATGGTTGTAAGCCACCATGTGGTAGCTGGGAATTGAACTCATGACTTCTGGCTTCTGGAAGAGTAGTCAGTGCTCTTAACCACTGAGCCATCTCTCCAGCCCCATCTTTTGCTTCTTTAAAAAAAAAAAAATTGTTTTTTGTTTTTCAAGACAGGGTTTCTTTCTCTGTGTGAACCTGGCTGGCTGTAATGGAACTAACTTTGTAAACCAGGCTAGCCTTGAACTCAGAGATCCGACTACCTCTGCTTCCCAAGTGTTGGGATAAAAGGCATGTACTACCATGCCCAGCTTTCTCTCTTTTCTCTTCTTGATCTTTTTTTTTTTTTTCGAGACAGGGTTTCTCTGTGTAGCCCTGGCTGTCCTGGAACTCACACTGTAGACCAGGCTGGCCTCGAACTCAGAAATCCGCCTGCCTCTGCCTCCCAAGTGCTGGGATTAAAGGCATGCGCCACCACTGTCCAGCTTTTCTCTCTCTTGATCTTAGATTTTTTTTTTTTAAAGCATGCTTCTTAAGAAGAACAACACACAGCCGGGTGGGTTTTGTTTGAAAAAAACAAAAACAAAAAAACAAAAAAAAGAGCAACACACATTCTCAGAATCCTCATGCAGCCACTGGCTCTGCGTGCCATCTGACAGCCCTTGGCAGACTGCCAGAACTCCCTTCTCCACTTGTCACCCCCTCTGCCGTGGCCTTCAGTCCCACTCTTGTCCAGACGTGTATCTGCTCAAATGTCACCTGGTCTTTGTCTAGATCACCTCTGCCAACTCTTGATCCCCACCCTTTGCCCTTCATCAGTCTGTGCATTGCGACAGCTCCCTCTTCCTTCAAAGGTCATTTTCAGGTGGCTTCCATTTGCCCTCATCTCCCTAACGGCCAGACACCTTTGAAGCCCAAGATGCAGTGCTCAGCTTTCCGCTCATGCAATCGTCTGGACTGAAAACGCTAGAGGGGGCTGAGATGGCTTCATGGTGGAGACAGCATCCTGCTCTTGCAAGGGAAACAAGTTTGGTTCCCAGTATGCAGACTGGCGCTTGTACCACTTACAACTCCAGTTACAGAGAATCACTGCCCACTTCTGGCCTACGTGGACCACATCTGCATTTATGTTCACATTCCTCCATAGACACATGAAAGCATGTGTAATTAAAATAAAATATAAGGGCTAGGTGTAGTGGCACATGCCTTTAATCCCAGCACACAGGAAGCAGAGACAGGTGGATCTCTGTGAGTTCAAGGTCAGTCTGGTCTACATCTTAAGTTCCAGGTCAGCCAAGGCTACATAATAAGACCCTGTCTCAAAAAAAGCAATCAATCAGTCAATTAATCAAATAAAAAATATTTTTAAAGTAATTTACTTTATAGTTAGGTATGGTGGCACATGCCTTTAATCCAAGTACTCAGAAGGCAGAAGCAGACAGATCTCTGTGAGTTCTAGGCTAACTGGGCATGCACAGTAAGCCACCATCTCAAAAACAAACTCCAAAACCTGGTTTTGGGGGCTGGAGAGATGACCCAGTGGTTAAGGGCAATTGCTGCTTTCAGAGGTCTAGGGTTTAGTTCCCAGGACATAGATCACAACCAGCTCTAGGGGATGCAGCGCCCTCTTCTGGCTTCCACAGGCACTGCATGCATATGGTACATGGGTGGACAAGCAGGCACATGGACATATGTATAAAAACTAAAAATATATTAACAAAAAACAAACAGAAAAACTCCACAGGACTAGGGATGTAGGTAAGTGGTACAGTATCAGGGAGTCCTGGGCTTGGTCCCCAGCATTGGGGAAGAGAGTGAAAGGACTCAGCCTACTTAACATGCTGCTCAAACTTGCAATCCCTTCATTTGCGAGGCTGAGAAAATTTCAACACGTCTCAGGCTAGCCCAACCTCCAGAGTGAGTGAGTCTCTATTTCAAACCCAGAAAGAGTGGGAGGAAATGCTTCTGCAATTGATTGTAGTAATATTTTGCATAATCTTTGATGTATCAGAATCACTGAATTATATAAATTAAATAGTGAAGTTATATAGTAAGCTTTATATCAGTAAACCTGTTATTAAAAAAATAATAATAACTGGGCTGGAGAGATGGTTCAGAGGCTAAGAGGGTGTATAAATTAGTTTGGCTCCTAGCACTTACTCACAATAGGCAACTCAGAACTGCCTGTGACCCCAGTTCCTGGGTACCCGATGGCTCTGGCCTCTGGAGTCATAGTCAGTCTCTCTCTCTCTCTCTCTCTCTCTCTCTCTCTCTCTCTCTCTCTCTCTCTCTCTCTCTCTCTCTCTCTCTCTCTCTCTCTTTCTCTCACATACACATTCACACACTCTCATTTTTTTTTGGTTTTTTGTTTTTTCTTTTTTTTTTTTTGTTTTTTTGTTTTGTTTTGTTTTTTTTGAGACAGGGTTTCTCTGTGTAGCCCTGGCTGTCCTGGAACTCACTCTGTAGACCAGGCTGGCCTCAAACTCAGAAATCCACCTGCCTCTGCCTCCCAAGTGCTGGGATTAAAGGCATGTGCCACCACTGCCTGGCTCACACACTCTCATAATTAGATTTTTTTTCTCAAAAACTGGTCATATAGTTCAATTATACAGCACTTGCCTAACATGCGTAAGACCCTGGGTTCAATCCCTAGTACATGCATTCATTTATGCAAACACACACACACGTGTGTGTGTGTGTGTGTGTGTGTGTGTGTGTGTGTGTGTCTGACTTCTTCAGCCAAAGCTTCTCTTCAGGATTTTATATTATCTAACTGTTCACCCTATATCACTGCTTAAAACCTAATAGCAATCTATCTTTTTCTGCACCATGGTTAATGCTAGGCTAACAACTTCACATCACCTTAATCCCTCTTTTTTCTCTCCTATCGAAAATCCAATCTATTAGCAAAATCCTACCGACTTTCTAAACCTAAGAGCCGTCCCTCTCCGTCTCTGCTGCTTCTCCGTTCCTCCTCTGAGGTCAACTAACAAAAGAGCAGCCATGGTCTTTCAAATACAGAGAACTCCACGTCAACCCCTCCAACAGTCCCGCAGTTCCTTCAAGGCAAAAGTCAACATCTTCTCCATAGCTTACAGGGAATCTGACTCTCATTCCTCTCTGACTGCACTTTCGACTGGTTTCTCACTCCTTCCAATCATATGAAAGACTGGAACACAAATGGCCATCTTCCACCCTGGGTCTTGGCACTGCCTAGCTGTTCCGTTTTCAGTTGGCTCCCTGGTCTTCCTCAAGTCCTGCTCAGATAGACCATGGAGAGTTCTTTTCTCACCACCCTGGTAAAAATTGACATTCCACCAAGTGAGCATTCCTTAACCACTTTCTCTGTTTATTTTTTTTTCCTCCCCACACAGGTCACAAAACGTGTGATGCGTAATTTACTTATTTGCTTTGCCGTAGGTCTGTCTTGCTACAATGTCAGTTTTCTAAATCCTCAGTCCAGAGTACTATTTATCTATACAAAGTACATACTCAAAAAAAAAAAATGAACTAGAAAAAAGAATTTGCAAACAGTTGCACTCATTATTTCATAAAATCCGAACTTTTCCCCGCGGCTTCTGAAGCTGAGGACTGGGTGATATTGGCACTACCCACTTCTGCCATCCTATCTCGCGCCAGCCACCAGTGCCTTCCTCGGTTCCGGAAAGGCACTTTGCATGTACCCTCCCCCCGACCTGCAATGCCTTCTTACGGTGCGGGATTACAAGCTTTAGAGCCAGACACCCTCCCCCACCCGCACGGTTTCGGAACGACCCAGGCAGAAGGAGCCTTCCGCCCCGTACCTGAAGAGCCTAAGCCTATTAGGCTCCAGCAGTAAGCCCGGGGTCTGCCACTCAATTGACCCCTGACCGGTCAGCACCCGCCCCTGGAGGACGCATCCATTAAAATACGTGTGGGCAACTTCCTGCCTAGCAGCCAATCAGGGGCCACGCATAGGTGCTGCATAGGCGCAGGCTGTGAGCCGGGTTTCCGGCTTAGGATCAGGGTCTGGTGAAGGGGCTAGAGGCGCCATGTCGGGCCGGGAAGGTAAGGCTATTTGGGGATGGGGGGACGGATGGATGGGGAACATCGGGAGGGCGATGGTTGGCGGGGATGGGCCGAGCATGCTCGTGTCGCCCACAGGTGGCAAAAAGAAGCCCCTGAAACAGCCCAAGAAGCAGGCCAAGGAGATGGACGAGGTAAGGAAGGGAGCGGAGGCCGGGAGGGCGCTGAGGGAATGGGCGACTGGGCTGGAGTGAACCTGTTCTGCCTCTCCGCAGGAAGATAAAGCTTTCAAGCAGAAACAAAAGGAGGAACAGAAGAAACTCGAGGAGCTAAAAGCCAAGGCCGCGGGGAAGGGCCCCCTGGGTAAGTGAAGATCGAGCTAGTGTAGGTATCCGAGGGCAGGCAGGTCTGTTCCGGGGGTCGTTGGTGAACTGCAGGGTCTGGTGTACACGCTGGCCAAGCCTCTTGCCTTGGGTTTGTGCAGTTCCAAGGGGCGGGAGTGGAAACGTGACAAGAAATGAAATCTTCTGCCTCTCAAACAGTCTTGGGCTTCCAGTTCATGGAGGAGGTACAGAAATGGAAACACCAACATGTACGCCTGACAGATACATATAGCTAAGTTTCTGAGTATCGTCCAGTTTCTGGTTCCAAACTAGTAATTCACTACTTCTTTATAGGTTGTTAACCTTAGAACATAGGACTTTTTAACTTGCTGGTCGAATTATCTGTAATGATATTGAGTTCTGAGTCACCTTTGGGTGCTATCTAGACTAAAGGATAAAAGTCCAGGCTTCTTAACATGTATTTTCCCCTGGGTGCTATTTTGTTTTGTGGCTATGCCGGGGAGCAAACTCATTTGTGTAAAGCAAACACTCCCTCTTGAGCCGTTCCCTATGCTCCATGCTCTCTCTCTCTCTGTGCCTTGCTAAAATAACCTTGCCCACGATTTTGCCTCTTAAGAGTGAACCACAGGTCCAGGAGTCCTAATATCGAATTAAGAAAAGTTCGGAGTTTTGTATTAAACGCATGAGTATTTTTCATGCATATCTGTATACCGTGTGTGGGCAGTGCCCTGGGAGACCAGACAAGGGTCAGGTCTCCTGGGACTGTAGTTAACAGATGCTTGTGAGCTGGGAATTGAACCCAGCTCCCCTGGAAGAGCAGCCAGTACCCTAAATGCTGAGCCAGCTCTCTAACCCATTTTTTTGTTATTTTGTTTTTTAATTGCTAGACAAGTCCTCTACCGTTATTAAAAGTTTCTGAGGCTGGCCTTGAACTTTAGATTCTCCTGCCTTCACCTAGATTGCTAAGATTAGAGCCTGTGCCACCAGCCTGGCTTTGTGTGCGTTATAAAAGCACTATTTTGCATTTTCTGACTAGCGATTATTTCTGCCTGTTATTGGTGTCACAGATACCAGAACTGTCACCCCAAGACCTATTGCATTGGATTTGATCTATTGTTTACCCACATAGCAATGAAATTTTAGCTCTTCAGATTACTTTTTAAAACGAGGTCAGGTATCTGGCACCGTTAATCTGTGATTATGTATAAGGAGGTCAGACCTTGGTGAAATCCTGTACAGACTGAGCATTTATAATCTGTAAATCCAAAGTGTCCCAGAGTTGAGACCTAACACCAGAAGAAAATCCCACTCCAGGCCTTGGATGTTGGATTGCAGTCAAATGCAGAGGCGCTGGAGGTGTTGTGTTACATTAACTTAAAACCATATGCATGGGGGTGGGGTGAAGCATAAATAAATGTTGGGTTCACAATTGGGTCCCATCTCTGAAATAGCACATATATGCAAATGTTCCCCAAATCCTAAATACTCGTGGACCCAGGAATTTCTGATAAAGGAAATCCAACTAGTACTAGTGTCACTGAGCTCCATCCATTGTGGATTTCCTCGTCCCGTGACCTTGACCTCGATATGCTGGGATGTACCTCTGTGCCTAGACTATTAAGATTTGTTTTGTTGCCGGGCGGTGGTGGCGCACGCCTTTAATCCCAGCACTCGGGAGGCAGAGGCAGGCGGATTTCTGAGTTCGAGGCCAGCCTGGTCTACAGAGTGAGTTCCAGGACAGCCCGGGCTATACAGAGAAACCCTGTCTCGAAAAACCAAAAAAAAAAAGATTTGTTTTGTTGTGGTTCTTTTGTGCCCTCGTTCTTTTTCTGACAGGATCTCTGTGTAGCTTTGGCTGCCCTAGAACTCACTATGTAGACCAGGCTGGCCTCACTCAGACCCACCAGCCTCTGTCTCCTGGGTGCTAGGATTAAAAGTGTGCACCCCCACTGCTAGGCTGTGCTTTCTTCCTTAAAAGAGGCATAGATGATTGGACAACCATTTCACTAATTATCTAGTGGGTGGTATTGGCATTTTTAAAATTGAATAAAATGAAGGCATAATAAAACCAGTCTCTAGGAATATAAGATGGTAGATAGTGTGTTGTAATGTCACAGTTTAGAATGTGTAGTTATGAGAGAACCATGAGGTGGCTCCTTGGGTAAAAGACCTGTCTCTCAGCCTGAGGACCCCAAGTTCAGTCCCTGGGATCTATGTGGTAGGATTGTCTAATTCCTGAAAGTTGTCCCCTGATTTCTACCCATGTAGTGTGGCACATGTGTGTGCACTGGTATATGCATCCATTCAATGAGTTAAATGTAATTTGAATAAGAAGGGACCAGAGAGGTGGCTCAGCAGTAAAGAGTACTGTTGCTCTGACAGAGGGCCGAGGTTTGGTTCCCAGGTCTTACATAGTCATTCACAACTATCCGTAACTCCAGCTTTAGGAGATCTGACACCCTTTTCTAAGCTGTGCAGGGACCAGGCATGCACATGGCTTACAGACATAAATATAGTAAGACATGCATACAAATAAAATTAAAAATTGATTTTTAAAACTGTGCATTGAGGGACTAGAGAGATTCGCCTGCTAAGCATGGAGATCTGAGTTGGATACTCATAACTCACATAAGAAAACTCAGGCAAGTCGGGCGGTGGTGGGCGGTGGTGGCGCACGCCTTTAATCCCAGCACTTGGGAGGCAGAGGCAGGTGGATTTCTGAGTTCGAGGCCAGCCTGGTCTACAGAGTGAGTTCCAGGACAGCCAGGGCTACACAGAGAAATCCTGTCTCGAAAAACCCAAAAAAAGAAAAAGAAAAAAAAGAATAGTCAGGCAAAGTGGTGTCTAATTATGATCCTACCACTGTGGTCAAAGACTGGCAAGTTTCTGTGGTTCTCTGACCAACTGATCTAGCCTACTAGGCAAGCTCCAGGCCAGTAAAAAAATCCTACCTCAAAAAATCTGGTTGATGGGGGACACTACGTGGGCTTCTGGCCCACACATGCACACATAAAATATAAAGGGGGAAATTTTAATGTGCGATTAGAAGGTAGATTTCCTAGGTAGAGCTTAGCATGGTGCTGTACACCGATAATCCTAACACCTGGAGAGCCTGAGGCAGAAGGATGAATGTTTTGAGACAAGTCTCTATTTGTGGTTTTCAACTTGTGGGTCGAATGATCCTTTCACAGGTTATCTAAGATGATAAGAAAACACAGATACTTGCAGTGTATATATTACAGTTCATGACAATAGCAAAATTAGGAAGTAGCAACAAAAGTAATTTCATGGTTAGTGGTCACCACAACATGAAGAACTTTATTAAACGGTCACATCATTAGGAAGGTTGAGAACCACTGCTGTACATAGTCCAGGCTGTGCTGAAACTCAATATGTAGACCTGGCTGGTTTAAAACTTACCGAGCTCCTCCTGACTCTGCCTCCTGAGTGCTGGGATCAGTCACATGCACCACTACATCTGACTAAAACCCTCTTTTTTTTTTTTTTTTTTGGTTTGGTTTTTCTAGACAGGGTTTCTCTGTGTAGTCCTGGCTGTCCTGGAACTCACTCTGTAGACCAGGCTGGCCTTGAACTCAGAAATCCGCCTGTCTTTGCCTCCCAAGTGCTGGGATTAAATAAAACCCTCTTTCATGCAATATACTCAACCATGTTTTCTCCTGCCCCAATTCCTTCCAGGCCTTCTCCACCTCCCTATCCACCAACTTCTGTGTTCTTTCTCAAAAAAAGAAAAGAAAACCAAGTAGTAGTGGCTTTAATCCCAGCACTCACAAGGCAGAGGCAAGCAAGTCTTGAGTTCAGCCAGGTCTACAGAGTGAGTTTTGAGACATCCAGGGCTAACACAGAGACCCTGTCTCAAAAATCAAACCAACAAAACAGTAAGGAGGGGAAAAAAAGAAAAAGGCAAAAACAAAACAAAAAAGCCCACAAAAAAAAAAATGGAGGGTGAATTTGAAGCCCACCCGAGCTGTTTAATAAGACACTGCCTTAAAGAAAATAAAACACTACAGAACAGGAAGTCAGACTACCAGCTGAGAATTGAGGCTTCTCGTGTACCAGCCTATAGCCCTGGAGAACACCACACATCAAGACTGACTTCCCTGTAAGGTAGGTTGCTGTGCAGGAGAGTTACTAAGCTAATCTGAAGGACACACAGTATGGATGCAGAGCAGGGCACAGCTGCTGCCTTGCCCTCCCTCAGCCGTGTTCTGCCTTCCTAGAAGTGGTCTCAATAGAGGAGCTAGGCATGTTTGTGCCAAAGCAAACACCCAGCACAAGAGCCAGTTAATCCTGGGACCCTATGAGGCTTTGCAGCCATAACAAGATCTCTCCCTAACTGGACTTTTTTTTTTTTTTTTTTTTTTTTTAATGCAGCCACAGGTGGAATTAAGAAATCTGGCAAAAAGTAAGCTGTTCCTCACATCGGAGGTGACGTGACCCTCCTCCTCCATCCCTATGTAACCATCTGGATTCCCTGCCATAACATCTTTGCCACCTAATAGCTAGGATGAAGTGTTATCCTGGAGCCTGTTGTTGTACATTGTAATAAACTTTTGTAAAAAAAAAAAAAAAAACAATGAATAAAGTGAACAATGCAATGGCTCCTTGTCTTTAGTGTTCAGCAATTCCTACCTCAGCTGTGAATTTAAAGTGAACCTAGTCTAGAATCCCACTAGAGCCTTGTTCCATCTTCATTGTATTCTGAATTCTGTACCACTTTGAATTAAACTCATTTAAAAGCCTATCATTCTGTGTGCTTGTTTATCTAGTGGGATAATTCTTCAGAGGTAAGTAAAAGGAAATAGTCTGTAAAAAATAAATAAAAACCACTTGCCTTTCACTCTCACTGTCCTCGCCCCTCCCTCCCTCCACATGCTCATGGCCGACCTCTACTCTTCTCTTTCTCTGCCTTTCTCTGTCTTTACTACCCTCTCAACTCCCCTCTCCATGCCCTGAATAAACTCACTTCTATACTGAAAAAATTTTTAAAAACCCACTTGCCTTTCATATCAACGTTGCCACGTTTGTTTGTGTATATAAAGATAACTGCTTGAACTCAGGCAGAGACAAGGGATCCCTGGAGCAAGCTGGATAGCTAGCCTAGCTGTAGAGGTGAAGTTTGGATTCACTTGAAACCTGCCTCAATGAATAAAATTCCTAAGCTTGGACTTCACCATGTACTCACATGTATACTCACATGTCATGCAAAGGGGGAAGAACAGTGACCTTGGTAAACCACAACTCATAACTCATCCTTTGTTTCTCCCTGGCTTAGCATTTTTCAGTGCTTAAAAAAATGCCAGGCGGTGGTGGGCACGCCTTTAATCCCAGCACTTGGGAGGCAGAGGCAGGTGGATTTCTGAGCTTGAGGCCAGCCTGGTCTACAGAGTGAGTTCCAGGACAGCCAGGACTACACAGAGAAACCCTGTCTCAAAAAAAACAAAAACAAAAAAAAAACAAGCCAAAGTTTTTTTTTTAACAATTAGGCTTTGAGGCAGCAGCTCTCAACCAAAGGATCCAGATGCTGTGACCCTTTGATACAGTTCCTCATGCTATGGCTACCCCCAACCATAACATTATTTTCATTGCTACTTCATAACTAATTCTGCTACTGTTAGGAATCATATCTGATGTTCAACCCCCAAAGGGGTTTCAACCCACAGGACTATAGCTCTAAGGCAACACCATTTCTTCCCTTCTGATTTCTACCATTTACCCTTTAGTCCATTTGCAGCCACAGTGATCTGAGGTAAAGTCAAGCCCCACTGTTTTGGTTTTTCAGTGTAGCCCTGGGACTCTGTAGACCAGGCCTGCCTTTGAGTGCTGGGATTAAAGGCATGCAGCACTATGCCCAGCTCTGTGTTTGTTGTTTTTACTAGACATCTTAGTGGTGAGGAGATACACACACACAGCAAGCATGCACAGAGGAAGACCCTCTACAAAGCAGTGAGGTCATCCAAGCCTTTTGCTGTGTTTTCACCAATCCTTCCTTTAGAAAATCCTAACTATTTGGAAAGCTGAGGCCAGAGGATCACATCTTGAAAGCATGACTGGGTAAAAGTAAAAAGAGGGCTGGGGATGTAGCTCAGCCAAGAGCCTTCTGTTTGAGACCCCAATTCCAGAAGAAAAAAATTACAGTTACTCTTCCCTGATCATATTCTTGCCAGATTTTATCTGTCAACCACCAAGTAAAGAAACTCCAAAACAGAAATCAGTCTTGTTTGGGAAGGAGGGGGTTCAGGTAGTGTAGCACAGACGGGACAGGCCTTGATTTAGAATCTTCTTGCCTCAACCTCCCAAGTGCTGTGATTACAGGTTTGTGCCATCATGCCTTGCTATGTGACCCTAGTTTAGGAGAGACAGGATGCTGGAAATCAAATCCAGAGCCCTGAATATTCTAAGCAGATACCTTAACACTGTCCTGCCCCCATCTGTATTTACTGAAACACCTCATTGAGAAGCACAGAATTTCTGATTTGCCTTCTAGGCCATTCGTAAAACTGGAAACAATAAGCTTTTCCTGAGGATATTATCTTCTTTTATGAAACAGGCTCTCACTAAATTCCTCAGGGTGACATTGATCTAGTTTAGGGCCAGCGAGGCCTTGAATTTGTGAGGCCCCTGCCTAAGGTTCCTGAATAGCAGGAATTCCAGCCCTGCACCATCAAGCCCAGCTAGCATTCCTGTAAACCCAGCACTCGGGCAGCTGATGCAGGAGAATCCGAATTTTAAAACAGTAGGCTGGGGACTAGAGAAATGGTTCAGTAGTTAATAGCACTGACTGCTCTTCTAGGGGTTCTGGGTTCAATTCCCAACACCCACACGGTGGCTCACTGTAATTCCAGTTCCAATGGAGCTGATGTCCTTTTCTGGCCTCAGACATACATGCAAGCAAAACACCCAAACATATAAAACAAACAAATCAGCTTGCTTTGGTCATCTCCAAAAAGCAGCTTCTTTGGGCTTTAGGCCCATAGGACCTTGCCAGCTGGCACCCAGCCCCATGCTGCTGAAAATACTTATCAGCAGTCATAGCCCCCTGCTCCCAAAAGAAGGTACTTCTCTTTTATTTTGGTGGAATCTAATCCCTCCTGACAATATCCTTTTTTCAGAACCAGAGATCTTAGCTATTAAGATCCAGGCAATCAACCAGGCATGGTAGCCCACACTCACAATTCTAGCACTTAGAGACTGAGACAGGAGGATTGAAAGTTTGAGGCCATCTCAAAACACAAAGACAGCTGGACATGGTGGTTCATGTCTATAATCCCAACACTCAGAGGGGAGGGAGGACATTCTGGAGTTCCCAGCCAGCTTTGGTTCTGTGTCAAGACACTTTCAAAGGGGGCACAGGGAGTGCTTGGAGGCTTAAACACTCAACATTCTGTTGGGCAGCTATGGGAAACTACCAGCAGCTGAATCAAGAAACTAAGGCAGTTCTAAGTGATCCAATGCCTCCTGACTGCTGTAGGCATCAGGCGTGCATGTGACGCACACACATGCATGCAGGTAAAACACTCACACATGAAAAAATGAGGGAGGGGAAGGCAGGCCTGAGGCATTCTAGCACTCTCCTTTTCACCGATGCCCCAGCAACTATTGATAGGCTCACAAGCTAAGTCTGGCACTGAGCAAAGGAGTAGAAACGTCTTGCTAATCCCCCATTTCTGGTAAATGTTCTGCCCACCACTTCTGCTCATAAAAGCCTGTCATACAATCAAGCCCAACTCATATCTTTGCTCCTTCGTCAAGTTTTACCTCCTCTCTCTGCCGCAGTCACTTCCATTTGTCATCCTTGTCGAAGTTGAAGTTTTCTCAGAAACATCAGGCGTCAGCCTCCTAACCCATTTTTTTTCTTGCTATTTTCCCCTCAATCTGTTGGGCAATTCAAAGACCACTCCCAGCGAGCCTTCCTCGACTTCTTGAGCTTCATTCGTCTCTATGCAACCACCACTTGGGACATAAAGACTCTCCAAGAAATAAATGGAAGTTAACATTTGGAGCAGTTCCGAATAGGAGGCACACCATCCTTCCCAGACTTTTTCTCAAATATACGTACTTGAAATATTTGTTATCCTGGAAAACCCCTGCTTCCAGAAGAACAGCATTCCTTCTCCTCCTCAAGCCTCCTCCCTAAAAGAGTCTGGACACGTGAAAGGTGGGTCAGCCGCGAGGAGTAAGGTCCGCGAGGAGAGCTGACCTCTGAACGCTGCCTGCCTTGACTCAAGGCGAACTGCTTCTCTAAGGCTCTGTATTCTACAAAATGCCAGGGGAACAGCCACAGGTGTGGTCGGGCAGACGCTCCTCGATCTCGCAACCCGGGTAATCCTGACAACACTGCAGTGTCCTGGCATTACCAGGGACCCATAGGTACTGAACCCAGACCTGCAGGAACCTGTCTCGGGTAACGGCGCGCTCTGTATACGTCACCCATCTGTGCCCGGTAGCTGGCAGCTGATTGGCCCGCAGGCTGGGGAGACGCTAGTAGCTGAGGGGAACGGCGGCGCGCGGGCGGTTGGGCCAGCTTAGGCTTTCTGCGGACAAGGCTGTGCTTGGCATCCTCGGATGTTGCGGGCTGAAAGTAGTCATGGCCGGGACTCCCGCACCAAACAGCCACAGGAAGCAGAGTGGCGGCCTGGAGCCTTTCCCCGGTCTGTCTCGGTCCATCGAGAACCCTCCGAGCAAGCGGGCCCGGAGCTTCTCTGAGACCACAGTCCCGGACCCCGAAGACCCATTCGGCGAGCACGCGGAATTTACTGCGGACGACCTAGAGGAACTCGACATCCTCGCGTCACAGGCCCTGAGCCAGTGCCCAGTCGCGCCTCGGAACCTGTCCAGTGAGTGCCTGTGGGGGCCTTTCCCCCGGCGGATGGTGCAGACCTCTTCAGCCTGGTAACTTTGGTACTGGCGGCTTGCACCGACGTTGCCCTCTCCCTTTATAAAACAAAATAGCACCCGATCTAGCGTGGTTCTGTTTCAAAAAGTCCTTTGAATTGGTGGTAACATTCAGAATGTCAAAGAGCCTCACATATCCAGATTTGAAATATAGACGGCTAGACTGTTATTTATTTTCCTTGAAACATGACTACGATCACCTCAGGACCGTCACAACCCATGTGTGAGGATTTCGATGCACCCCCATTGTAACCCTTGGGCAGAAGAGCATAGAAAGCGTCTAGCAGAGGCAAGAGATGAAAGAGGTTCTTACACATCCAATGCTAGTTGCCCAAAGGTTAGGAATGGCAACAACCACAAGCAATAGGCAAGAAATGCCAAAGCCGCTTTCCTTCTTAGAGCTTACAATCTTGGGGAATATTAAGTTAAGTGTCAGAAGAGATTGATGGGCACCTTGCTATACTTAGCACTTAAAGCATCTGGAAAATAGGATTATCCCTGGAAATGTGGTTGGTCCTCCATCTCTGGAAATGAGCACTGGAAAACACTCATTGCTGACCAGCTGTATTATACGACAGTGGTTAGCCACTACTTTCCAAGCAGTGGCACAAGGCAACGCCTCCTCCTTCCTTGGCTCATCATCCGATACTCTAACTTACTCCATCCCTGGAGCCCTACCTCCCCCAGGAATGTATCCATTTTGTTCACCATCTGTCTTTAAAAACCAGCAGATCCTATGCCTAGCATAAATAGTACTTATGATAGCGTCACAGCCAGTGCAACCTCCTTTCAGCTATTAGCTGAGACTCTAGAAAGTGGGTGAGGTGTAAAGGGAGAGTATTCAGATAT